GCAAGTCATTTTGGGCAGAGGCAGTTAATTATGCATGTCACATCATCAACCGGTTACCCTCAGCTGCTATTCAGGGTAAGACACCAATGGAGGTATGGACTGGAAAACCTTCTTCTGATTATGACTATATCCGTATTTTTGGTTCACCTGCTTATTTTCATGTGACTGAAAATAAACTTGATCCTAGAGCCAAAAAGGCTATCTTTCTTGGTTTTAGTAGTGGTGTCAAAGGTTACAGGTTGTGGTGTCCAGAGATGAAGAAACTGGTAATTAGTAGAGATGTGACATTTGATGAAGAAAGTATGTACAAAGTCTCTGAGAAGAATGTGAAAGATGTCCAACAGGTGGAGCTTGAGAAAGTTGCCTCTGGTACTTCAAATCCTATTTCCGCTGATGTCGAAGCCACTACAAGTGAAGAAGTTGGAGACCATGAGGATGTTGAAGAAGTTGAACTTGAAGATTCTATTCAAGTTGAAGAGCAAGTTTCACCTCAAGAGTCTATTGCCAAGAACAGAGGAAAGAGACAAATTACCAAGCCAGCTCGGTATAGTGACTATGTTTCTTTTGCTCTTCCTATTATCACTGATGAGATTCCATCTAATTTTTGAGGAAGCTATTGAGAGTGAAGAAAAGGAGAGGTGGTGCAATGCCATGGGTGATGAGATGAATTCTCTCTTGAAAAAACAAGACTTGGGAGTTAGCTAAATTGCCTAAGGGCAAGAAAGCTATTGGTTGCAAATGGGTGTATGCCAAGAAGGAAGATGCTGATGAGAAAAAGCAATGTGAGATTTAAAGCAAGATTAGTTGCTAAAGGGTATGCACAAAAGGAGGGCATTGACTACAATGAAATCTTTTCTCCGATTGTGAAGCACTCCTCAATTCGCATTATGTTAGCTCTTGTTGCACAGTATGATCTTGAGCTTGTGCAACTTGATGTAAAAACGGCTTTTCCTACATGGTGATTTGAATGAAGAGATTTATATGTGTCAACCAGATGGGTATATAGTGAAAGGGAAGGAGAATTTGTTTTGCAAATTGAAGAAATCACTTTATGGCTTGAAGCAATCTCCAAGGCAATGGTATTTGAGGTTTGATAAATTTATGAAAGGCCAAAATTATTCTAGAAGTCAATATGATCATTGTGTGTACTTCAAGAAGTTGCAAGATGGGTCTTTCATTTATTTATTGATATATGTTGATGATATGTTGATTGCCTCAAAGAATGTCGAAGAGATTGAGAAATTGAAGAAGCAAATGAAGAATGAGTTTGAGATGAAGGATCTTGGTGAAGCGAAGAAGATCCTTGGCATGGAGATCACTAGAGATAGAGCAAAGGGTTTCGTCAGTTTGAATAAAAAACAATACCTTGAGAAGTTGATTCGGAAGTTTGGAGTTCATGATTCAACCAAACCGGTTAGTACCCCTTTGGCTTCTCATTTTAAATTGAGTTCTCTACAATGTCCTAAAACTGATAAAGAGAAACTGCAAATGAAAAATATACCATATGCAAATTTGGTTGGTAGTTGATGTAAGCAATGGTATGCTCTAGACCGGATATTGCTCATGCAGTTGGCATGGTGAGTCGATATATGCATAATCCAGGTAAAGAGCATTGGCAAGCAGCTAAGTGGATATTGAGGTATCTCCATGGTACTCGAGATGTTGGTTTATGCTTTGAGAGGGATGACTCTGGTATTGGTCATTTTGCAGTTGGTTATGTTGATTTCAGATTATGCAGGTGATCTGGATGGAAGGAAGTCTACTACAGGCTATGTGTTTACTATGGCTAAAGGGCCAGTTTGTTGGAGGTCCATTTTGCAGTCGTCTGTTGCCTTGTCTACTACAGAGGCTGAATATATGGCAGTTGCTGAAGCTATAAAGGAGGCCATTTGGATACATGGGCTTATTAGAGATTTGGGGGTTGATCAGAAGCAGGTGGAGGTACATTGTGATAGTCAGAGTGCCATTTATTTGGCTAAGTATCAGGTTCATCATGCGAGGACCAAGCACATAGATGTGCGTTATCACTTTGTTCGTGAAATTGTTGGTGAAGGGGAAATCATTCTCCAGAAGATTCCAACTAAAGACAACCCCGCTGATATGTTGACTAAGGTTGTTGGTGTAGCCAAGTTTGTTCACTGTTTGAACTTGGCTCACATTTTGCCTATATAAAGAAGGCGTTGAGTAGTAGGAGTTTTGGAGCATTTGGCTCGGCATGAGTTGTTCTCTTGCTAGTGTTTGAGAGTGATGTTGTGTGCTAATTGTGTTGGTTGGCTTATCATGTCGTTTTCGGAACTTGGCCAAGGTGGAGATTGTTGAATTATGTGGCCAAGTGGCCATATACTTTAGAATAAACAAACCAAAAGTGGACAACATATTTCCTTGTTTTGGGGAGGAAAACATGGATCTTGTCTAAAGGTTTTTTGTTCTTTGGTCCATGTGAGAAGTCACGGGGTGACTTAATGAATTTGAGCAGCAATTGCTGCTTTGGTTGTAAGAGAAGAAAGACAGTCGGATAACAGAGAGAAGAAGGGAGCAGCAGAAAGAAGAAGAGAGGTACGCAGCTTCCATATAAAGAAAGAAATGTGATTTTCTTTCTTGGTTGGTTCTCACTCCATCAAAGTATTATTATTTGTAATAGCTTTGAGCTTTGTATAGAGAAGAAATTAATCACTATATTTCTTTCTCTATTTGTTTCCTTGGTGTGTGAGAGCTATTGGGTGTATTGGGTTATTTGGGTTGTGAGATTGCCAACACTTTGTAAACTCCCATTTGGTTGATAGTGGAAAATGGGTGAGCTCCTACTGCTCCGAGGACGTACTCCAGTTACACTGACTGTGGAGGAACCTCGTTAAAATCTTGGTGTTATTTTCTATATTGTTCTTGCATTTTCATTTGATAAATTTCCTGTGGGTTAGATTGAGTTGGTTCCATAAGGTTTGGTGCTATCCTAGCACAACAGATCTCTCTCCGATTCTTCAGGAATTTATGTACGTTGGGTTTTCGGCTTCGACCGGTCTGCTTGCTAGCTCCCATTACATATCAGGTTGGAGCTTCAAGATCGATGGAGAAACCCGAGTTCTTAACATGGGTTCTCTTCCTTCTCTTCCGAAACCCAAGAAAAATCACACATCTTTAATGATCGGAGTCTTAGTTTCCACTATTGCTCTTGCTCTGTCTGCAATTTCCGTTTCAGTTTACATTTACACGAAAAAATTCAAGAATTCCGATCCGGTAGAGTCATGGGAGCTGCAGCTGGGCCCACACAGATACTCCTACCAAGAATTGAAGCAAGCCACGAAAGGGTTCCGTGACAAAGAGCTGCTCGGGCAAGGCGGGTTCGGGCAAGTGTTCAAAGGTACGCTCCCAAACACGAAAACACAAGTCGCAGTTAAGCGAATCTCGAACGATTCGAAGCAGGGCCTGCGGGAATTCGTGTCAGAAATCGCCAGCATTGGGCGGCTCCGCCACAGAAACCTGGTTCAGTTGCTGGGTTGGTGCCGGCGGAGAGGTGACCTTCTTCTTGTTTACGATTTCATGGAAAATGGTAGCCTCGACAATGCTCTTTTCGATGAGCCCAAAACTGTGCTGAGCTGGGAAGAGAGGTTTAAGATCATCAAAGGGGTTGCTTCTGCGCTGCATTACTTACACGAAGGATACGAACAAATTGTGATTCACAGAGATGTGAAAGCGAGCAACGTGCTGCTGGATAGAGAGCTAAATGGAAGGTTAGGAGATTTTGGGCTCGCGAGGCTACACGAGCACGGCTCGGTTTCAAGCAATACGACTACAGTTGTGGGGACTTTGGGTTATTTAGCGCCGGAGATGCCCCGGACCGGGAAGGCAAGCACCGGCTCGGATGTGTACGCATTTGGCGTGCTTTTGTTGGAGGTGGCTTGCGGAAGGAGGCCGATTGAGCCGAAAGCCACGGCGGAGGCGATGGTTTTGGTGGATTGGGTTTGGGAGATGTACGGAGAGGGAAAGCTTCTTGAGGTGGTGGATGAAAGGCTGCATGGGGAGTTTTGTGACAAGGAGGTGATGATGGTGTTGAAATTAGGGCTGATATGTTCGAATCATGGACCGTCGGATCGGCCTAATATGAGGATGGTAGTAAGATATTTGGATGGGGAAGTTGAGATTCCGAAGGACTTGAGGGGCCCACGTAGGAGGAAGGGTGGTGATCACGATCACGAAGCTGCGTTTGGTGATATACTCAAGTCTTTTGCTTCATCGTCTTCGTTTGATGAGCCTGTGTTCTAATAGAGATATGGATGCCACTTTTACTTCGGTTGCTACTTCCCCACTCTATCTTCTACAAGGGCAAACCAGATTGCCTTTAGAATTTTATTTTTTATAGGGATGATTTTCGAAAACATAAAGCAAGATTGCTACCAAATGTCTGTTTCAGATCTTTAGGTGTGAATTATGCAACTTTAAAATGTTATACGTTAAGAGCTGTCATGAGTAGATCACTTGTCCCAAAAAACTGACTTACAAGGTGCCTAAGAGCTCTTAAATCATCTCAATGTTTGCTACTTTTCTAATGTTTAATATTGGATCTTAATAGCCACTTATTACTACGGTCTAATGATATTAGGTTCAATTCTTGCTAAACGCGAAATTGAACCACATTATTACTAACTCATTGTGCGGCTAAGCACACCCCTATTGGAATTTGAAGGTGTATTTTCTATTATGAAGAAACAAAAGATAGCTCATATATATGAGCGTGGGAAGAAGAGAAAAACAAGGAACAAAAAAAACAATCTTCCTTCCCTGATTTATGCCTAATCACCTAACAACTAAAGCAAGGGCAGCAACTAGACTAACAATTAAAGCAAGGTCAGCAATCCCTTGAATTAGTGAGAATGACAGCCATACTCTAGTTGTTAGACAGCACCCCATGCACACACCCATGCTACCTACCAGCTATGGGAAATGATAGAAACATTAGGGTAAATGACAGATAACATAGACTAGATTTTTTCCAATACTCCCCCTCAAGCTGGATCAAACGGGTCGATTGATCCAAGCTTGGACAAGAGGTGATGGAAAGTAGCAAACAACAATCCTTTGATGAAGATATCGGCAAGTTGATCATGACAACAAATGAAGTGTGTATCAATCACCTTGGACTGCACTTGATTTCGAACATAGTGGCAGTTAACTTCAATGTGTTTAGTTCGCTCATGGAAGACATGATTTAATGCTATGTGCATCGCAGCTTGATTATCATAGTAAAGAGACATAGGTTGTTGATGAGGAAACCCTAAGTCTAATAACAGATTTTTGAGCCGATTAAGTTCACAAGCAGTCGAAGCCATAGCACGGTATTTTGCTTCTGCACTAGAGCCTGCAACCACGCTTTGTTTCTTGCTCTTCCAGGTGACTAGGTTACCTCCTACGAAGGTGCAGAAGCCAGTGATAGACTTGCGATCGAGAGCATTCCCCACCCAATCAGCATCTGTATATCCTGAGATATGAGTGTGATTATTGTTACGTATGAGAATCCCTCTACCAATGGAGCCTTTTAGATATCGAAGCACACGATGAACAATCTTCATGTGGTCCATGCTTGGAGCATGCATAAACTGGCTAACAAGATTCACGGCATATGCTATATTAGGGCGAGTGATAGTGAGATAAATGAGTTTGCCGACCAATCTCTGATAGTACTCTATATTGGGAATGAGATCACCGTGAGATTGCAGCTTCAAGTTACTATTCAAAGGTGTGCTAGTAGGTTTACAATCTGTCATGTTGGCCTCACGAAGAAGATCAATAACACACTTGCGTTGATTTAGAAAACAACCCTTGTGAGAGTGCGCTATCTCGATCCCTATAAAATATTTAAGAATGCCGAGATCTTTGATAGCAAACTTGTGATTGAGATATTGTTTAAGAGCACTAATCTCTGACATATTATCACCTGTCACAATGAGATCATCAACGTAAATAAGCACCACAAGTTTACCCGATGTACTTGAACGCACAAATAAGGAAGAATCAGCATTACTCCGACAGAAACCAACGCTTTCTAAAACATGACTGAGCTTGGCATACCATGCACGTGGACTTTGCTTGAGGCCATAAATGGATTTATGAAGTTTGCACACCATTTCTGGATTGTTTGATTGAGGATGACCTGGAGGCAGTTTCATGAAAACTTCTTCTTCAAGCTCACCATGTAGAAAAGCATTTTTAACATCCATTTGAAAAAGAGGCCATGCATTGTTAATGGCAACATATAACAGCACCCTCACAATGTTCATCTTTGTCACATGAGCAAATGTCTCCTTGTAATCCATTCCATAGGTTTGAGTAAATCCTCGGGCAACCAAACGAGCCTTGTTCATTTCAATCGTGCCATCTGAATAGAACTTGGTCTTGTATACCCAACGACTTCCCACAACCTTCTTTCCTTTGGGAAGTTTCACTATAGTCTGGTGTTGTTTTCATGAATAGCTTGAAGCTCTTCTGCCATAGCAGCTCTCCACTCACTGTGTAAATTAGCTTCTTGAAAGCTTTGTGGTTCATAGGTTTCAGTAATTGCACTGAGGAATGCCGCAAAAGAGGATGAAACTTTGCTGTAATTAATAGCAGAAGTCAAGGGATACCTGGCATTGTAAGTTACATAATCATGTAACTTGGATGGAAGTTTCCTCTCACGGAGAGGATTTCGACGAACTGTGGGAGATTGAGTTGCTGGCAATTGAGCAGTTTCTTGGTTGGAAGGCCTACTTGAGGGTTCTGATGAGATAGGTTTTTCAGGGACCACAGATGGAGAATTCTGCAGATTTTGAGAATTAACCTCATTCAATATCTAGTCCCTTGAAATATCTGTTGTTTCCTCTTCACTTGGATACGGTATTGGGAACAAATCAAGCAAATTCTCCCCCTCTTTAGAATAGTCTAGAGGTTGAGTAAAGTAAGACATGGTTTCTTCAAATTTCACATCTCTTGAAACAACTAATTTCCCAGTTGTTGGACTGTAGCATTTGTAACCCTTTTGAGTGGATGAATAGCCTAGGAAAACACATTTGGCAGCCCTTGGATCTAGTTTGTCACGATTTGGTGCTTGAATGTGAACAAAGCATGTACATCCAAAAACTCTTAAATGGGATAGATTGATCTGTCTATCTTTCAAAACCTCATAAGGTGATTTAAAGTTCAATATCTTACTAGGCAATCTATTGATGAGATATGTAGCAGTAAGAACACCTTGGGACTAAAAAGTTTTAGGCACATTCGAGTGAAACATAAGAGCTCTAGTTTTTTCAAGTAGATCTCTATTTTTCCTTTCTGCTACCCCGTTTTGTTGAGGTGTTCCAACATAACTAGTTTGATGTAATATACCATGTGTGCTTAGATAGTGAGACATGTTATGGGACATATATTCGGAGCCATTATCTGATCGTAAGACATGAATGTTTAAAGCAAATTGTGTGTTTATAAGTCTATGAAAATCTTGAAAAAATTCCAGCATTTCATTTTTAAATTTCAAAAGATACAACCAAGTGATCCTTGTGAAATCATCCACAAAAGTTACAAAATATTTGTATCCGTCAAAGGACTCTAGGACTGGTCCCCAAACATTGGAATGCACGATTTCAAAAGGATTACTAGCCCTAGACAAGGAGGAAGTGAAAGGTAATTTAGTGGACTTAGAGAAGTAACAAACATCACAGGAACTTGTAACTTTGCACAGGTTTGGAAACAAAAGAGACAGAACTTTATCAGAAGGATGTGCAAGTCGTCGGTGCCAAAGTTGTTGTTCTTGAACCAGGCTTGAAGTGACTTGGAAAACCTTGGGAATTTGGACATGCTTGGAAAGGTAGTAGAGGCCATTTAACAAAAAACCTTCACCAATCCTCTTCTTGGTGGTGATATCCTAAAAAACCACAGTTTTTGGGGAAAAAATGGCAAGACAGTTCAATGAGTTTGTGATTTTTCCAACAGATAAGAGTTGAAAAGGGAATGACGGAACATAAAGAGCCTCAGACTCAACATCACTAGAAATCAAATGTGTTTTCCCTCTCCCTACAACCATAGCACCATTGCCATTAGCAACTGACACTTAAGATGGACAAGAGAATATTTCAAAATTATGCAGATTTGTAGACTTGTTAGTCATATGTCAATAGCTCCTGAATCTATAATCTAATATTCATGCACATTACCTACTTTGAGAGCAGTTAAGAAGGATTGTAAGATGCCTGAAATATCTTGTCGTGTCACACCTTCATTTTCAGCCAAAAAACCAGCAAACTACCCGAGTAGAGCAGCTTGTTTGTTGTCACCTTAACTAGTTGATCTTTCATTGTTTCCATGACCTTGTTTCTTGTGGAGGAATGTAGAAAATTCATTTATCAGGGTAGCTGGATTGGAGGTGAAATTATGTGCTCCCTCAGAATGTGTGATGGCGGTATGATTTGCCTTGTAGGATGAGTTGTGTGAACCCTTAGGAAGACCCTTGTTGTTGTCCCTCGAAAACTTGGGCCTTAGTTCAGGATGGAGAATCCAGCAATGATTTCGTGTATGTCCACCAGTATCACAGTAGCTACATTTCACAAAAGGTTTCTTTCCTTTGTAGCTCATCTCTTCACTAGTTCTGTGGTTAGAGAGATATACTCTAGCTTGTGGTATATTTGACTTTAATTCCACAATCATGATTTTTCTGCGAGTTTCTTCCCTTTGAATTGTGGCACACACACTTGAGAATGAGGGAAGATCAGGATTCATGAGGACATGACTCCTGAGATCTTCGTATTCATGACTTAAACTCGCAAGAAGTTGAAATTTTTGTCTTCCTCAGCTCTCTTGGTCAGCACTGCAACATCAATGGTGTGTGGCCGATAGATATTCAACTCGTTCCACATGGTGGTTAACTTCCCAAGGTGCTGTACAAATGAGTTTCCTTCCTGTTGTAGACCAGTAATATCTTTTTTTAACTGGAACACATGAGCTATATTATTCTGATTCCCATACATTTCTTTGAGATTTTTCCAAATGATGCAGGAGGATTCAGCATAACTGAAAATTTATGCAATCTTTCGATCCATAGAATTGAGTAACCATGACATGACCAACTGGTCCTTGCACAACCAATCATTGTAATCTGATGAAGACACATCAGGCGCTGGAATAACACTATTAACATAACCAAGTTTCGATCGTCCTCCTAAGGCAAGAGTGACTGCTTTCTCCCAGGGAAGATAATTGAACTCATTTAGTAAGACAAAACTGAGACGTTGATTTGGGTTGACATCCACATCTAAATGAAGTGAAATGGCGCAGCATGCGAGCTAACTTCTTCGCCATGCACTAAACTCTCTTCAGCCATGATAGAGAATCAGAAAAAACTCACAGATCTCTCAAGAAACTACTCAGAAGCAGGTCGATTAGGATCACTGCTTTGATACCATATTGGAATTTGAAGGTGTATTTTCTATTATGAAGAAACAAAGTACAACGATAGCTCATATATTGAGCGTGGGAAGAAGAGAAAAACAAGGAACAAAAAAACAATATTCCTTCCTTGATTTACGCCTAATCACCTAACTAAAGTAAGGGCATCAACTAGACTAACAACTAAAGCAAGGTTAGCAATCCCTTGAATTAGTGAGAATGACAACCATACTCTAGTTGTTAGACAGCACCCCATGCACACACCCATGCTACCTACCAGCTATGGGAAATGATAGAAACATTAGGGTAAATGACAGATAACATAGACTAGATCTTCTTCCAATACCCTCTCCCCGTTACCCTAGTGTAGATAATATTGTTTATTCAAAAAAAAAAATCTTAACATTATGCAATACAATATCCACTTATATTACTATGATTTAGTGACATCCTTATTCACTTGTAAGTGAGAGGTCTTCAGATTTCGAATTATGAAAATAGTGAATTCGATATCAAATTTATTCTCTCATACATTAGGGTAAATATATATCATTATGTTGGAAAAAAAAAGAATTATACAATGTAATGTGATAATTAACCAAAAGAATATAAGAAATAAAAAAAATGAAAAGTTCCAATCTCAAGCTTAGTTTATATTCAACTTGTCTGTACGCCGGACGGTGCGAGTGGGAATGGAGTGGGAAGTTGTAAGAGAATGTTGTAAGTGAGTCTGTGGACTCGTGGGAAAGATGATGGAACTGGAGTTGTTGAGGTCAGTGTGGGCAAATATTCCTCTTTGTCCAAAATGGCCAACTGCCAATCCTTTGTGTTGTGTGTTAATTATGGACGAAACTAGAATGTTGAGGTCGGTGTGGGATGCCATTAACTTACAGAATGCTAGCAGCAGAACACATCCACTTTTAGTTATCATTATTTTTCTCGCCAATCAGAAACTTACTCAAGGTTAAGCTCAGCTTTATCCGCTAGCAACTTTGACAAACTTTGAGAAGAAAAAGAGCAAAGTATGATTCCTATGTGTTTGCATGGAAGAACAGTTGTGTCTCATGGTTCAGACAAGCAAATTACACATTCTTTGTGCACGTCACCTTCTACTGAATTACCAAGCCATAGATCTCCTGTAGTTCATACCTCATCTCATTCACCCAAAGAAACTTCTTGACAATGACACGCCCCGACCCCGATATCTCCAAATATCAGGATATACACGTGTTGGACGATACCCGAGGGTGGCAAAGCCATTTTAAACATGCATACAAATAAAATACGTAATTAGAAAGAATTATGCCAATGCGGAACGTGTTTAGAGCATACAACTAATCAAGAATAATGTGAAAGAATTAATATCAAATGGTACAAACAAATGAGTGGCTCCTACTATTAAAAGACTCGAAGATACCTATGCGGAAGTGCCCTGATGCCGGGATCGTATGCCTCGATTCTAACTCCTGAAATGGGTGCAAAACAAAGGGTGAGTGGATCAAAGTTTATAATAATAATAATAATAAGAAAACCATTTTCTTTCTGAACATACTAACCCCCTGTTTTGAAAACACATATATAGTACTATATAGTAGATTTTCTGAAAAAACGTTTGTAAAACACGTACATACAAACCAGTGCTTAGAAATGGTAGTATAGCCGCCTGAAGGCAAATCCGTAAAACATCTGTAAATCACATCAATTATGTACT